CTGTTTTAATTCTATACTTGCATCGTGTTTGTCGCCTTCCTGAATATTTTAATCTTTAGACCACGACTACCTTTGTGACGGATGAGGATATCAAAAAAGGCCAGCCGGTTGTCCTCTTTCTCCCCCATCGTGAATTGGAAGTCCGAGAAGACGTTGCTGAGACGTTCTTTGAACGTGAGCATCTTATCTCGTTCGATTACGCCGAAGATGTTATCCACATACTACGCCCAAAATGTTGGCCTGTGTTGTTGGACGACCAGTGACTCTACCGTTGTGGGATCGCCTCGGCTATGAGTCTCATAATCGGTGAACACATTGGTGTCCCTTCCACCTGCTCGTAGATTGTTCCGTCAAACATGCAGTACGTGCTAACACAGAAAGTCAGGATTTATAAGATTTGGGCATGTCCAAGGCGATTCTCTCTTTCATCGTATTTGCTACGTTGGAGTAGGCGGACGGTATCGAATGCCAGATCTTGAGGAAAAGAAGTTAAAAGGGACGTGGCATCGAAGTAAGATCATGATATCACTTTGCACGTGATTTACCCCTATCACGTGTGTCCAATAATTGTGCTGATGAGTGGACCGTGGTCTCCGAATCAGCAGACAGGAATTTGAGACGCCGAAACAGCCACCTTGCCAGTCCGTTTGTTGGAGTGCCTTTCAGTTATACGAATATTTGTAGAAAAGCGCCCTCCTTGTGAATTTTGGGGAGGCCGTAGAAGCGGCGCACTACCGTTTCCTGTGCTCTCGCCATGCGTAGGTCGGATGGCGTTATTGCACCCGACACCTTTAGTGCCAACAGGGTCGAATTGATTTCGCGTGTCAAACTGTTGATGGTATTGGTTTCACAAGGGACATACAACTGGTGATCCTCTAGTAAGTTTTTTTTCGCTTTATCAAGATATTCTGTTCTGTTTAGTATGACAGTGCTGCACTGGAAAACAAATTCCGCAAACGGTCGTCCATCAGATGCAGGCCACGGAGGAGACGAGAAACCTTATCCGACACCAGGTATCGTCCCACCTGGTGGCTCATCAACCGCGGAAAGTGCTGCTCAAGGTCGAACAGCTAACAAAGATCCACCACTGGGCGCACTGTTTTCTTCTCCAGGCCCCACTGTAACTCCCTTCTGAAGGTTGAATTTCCTTTGGGACGCGTGTGATTACCGGTGTGTTATATACGCTCATCTAAAATACTCGTACAAATAGAAGCAAGTCACGAGCTGACCGTTAGACGTGTCGTTGGTTCTTCCGACGTCTGAATCCGAAGAGAGGATGACATGATTACGTTATTGGCGAGGCATGTCCTCCAATGCACAGTAATTGCTGCCAGTTTGCGGAA